GTTAGGTAGATGGTAATTTTTTAGAAATGGGTTGACTTGGAAAGGACTCGCCGGAATGCCAGACTAGCCTCAGGTACAGACAAGCTGTGGCCACCACCCCTGCTGATAGTAGGCTGCCAAGCTAGCCAAGTAACAGAACTGTTGGCTCTGCTTGGCAAGAGTGGATGCATGGTATTGGTGGCAACAAGCCGCCAAGAACTTCACTGCTATGATATCAGGGCTTGCAAGTCAAACTACTCCAGGAGGAAGCCACTCTGGACTCTCATGGCTACACTTGTCAATGCTCAGAAAGCTCAGCTTGGGTCATCTCCAAGATTGAGGAGCATTACAAAGGAAGTGTTTTGAATATTACTGCTGCCATCAAGCAGGACACCATTATGGGCAGTCTGCATGAGGATCTTTGTGTTGTTCGTGCTCAGTAAAGTTGACCTTAGTTTAATCAGCATGGTAGCCATGCCTTATAGTGAGTTTGTTACATGCATGGACTTGATCTTTTTCGTTTTCGTGGACTTGTGCTTTTTCGTGCCGGTAGCGATTTCGTGGACTTGTGCTTTTCGAACGTACTCTCTCTAGCTAGCTAGCACTGGTAGCGAGATAACAGAGGTGCGAGATAATAATAGAGGTGCGAACGACGTTATCTTAACAGTGAGTAGTAGAGGTGCTAGCCTCATTTTTCTTACAGTCGAGGACGTGACCTTCACTAGGTCGTCACTGGTATAGAGGAACGATTGACCTTGCATACCTCGATCAATAGGAAGGATACCTCCTGTAGGATGGCTACCACAGGTACAGGCTCTCAGTATTTCTCTCAGTTCAGGGATATACTTTTACGGTGTTTGGGCTGGTTCTGTAACCTGTAACCCCAATCTGGTAGCATTTATTTGGTCCGATCCAGTAGCACCCTGGTTCGGCACGGGCCATCCCGGTGAAACCGGTTCTACCACCGGAGGATTTGAGCGCGGCGGTTACAGCGTACGGGAGGAGTCACGCTCATGGGTATTTTCTTCGTCGCATCTATCAACAAATTGCGAAGCGAAATACTGAGGGTGCAACGGGTGCTTCCCATGTTGACTTTACGTTTGTCGCAACCAAGAGGTAGGGGGAGCCCGAAAAGCAATCTGCGTCTTCCTCCTCCGTGCAAAATGCGAAGCGCTTCTTGTACTCCTTGCATGCTTTCTTCAAATGGGCGGCATCAACCTTTTCTTTTCCTTGGTTGTCAATAGGCTTGTAGTCTGCTTGGCTCCCATACCAATTCATCTCCTTCTCAATCCATCCAGCAGCCAAGTCACGGAACAGCGCTGGGACTGAAAGGTCCACCTTTGTTCTCTTTGCTTCAGGGTCACTTCTAACCTCCGACCTGGCTCTTGTCTCTCCTCTAGTGTTTGTGTCACCACCTCCAACAACAAGACTCGCCATCCTTCTTCCTGTAGTTCAACAAACTTGGGTTCTTTCTCGAGGCTCTTGACCTAGAGATCGACTTTCTCTTCCGTGTCTCCTTTCAACTTGGAAGCGGCAATCTCCTCCTATTCCAGCGGTAATTGTAGCTCTACAACTGCACTTTGTATCGTGGGAGATTGTTGGTGTTGCAGCAGCAGTTTATCGACTTATCTCCTGGTACCGGTACCAGGTACAGTGTACAATCGATCCGAGTATCGCCCTCTGCGCGTGTCGTACCACGCGAACAAATAAATGGTGGGAAAGGGCGTGAGGCTCCATGGAGTTCTTTCAGGACTGGTCCAGTCACTTTCGCATCAGCCAGCAAAAAGCTGTACATGTACTGAGTACTCTGCAGGAAAAGTCCGGAGAGGAAGTAGTACCGGTACTCACCAGCAGAAGCATCCTCTTCCTTCCATTTTCCCGCCGTACTGGTATTAATAGTCAAGGCCAGCGCTGTCATTGTCATGACTTCGTAGCACTGAAGGAAGGAAGCTAGACTAATGCAAGAGCACAGGTTTACTCTAGTTGGAAGAGGAGCTTCCAGCCATCACTACTGCTTCTACTCATTCATCACAATGGCCATGCATGCCCTCCCAACCAAGCCATCCAAGCAGCAACACTGCAGTCAGACTTTCCTCCACGAAAAAACTCACATGAACCCAGTCTTCTGGCCTCTTGGTATTGATAGCGTCGGTGCCATCTAGGCCGGACAGAGTGGTTCAACTGTGTAGTAAAAGTGCGCGGGAAGGAGACTTTGGTGTGGAAAGCTTTGGCACAGTTGGAATCGAATCCATGAGATAGAAGACACGTGCACCGAACAACCAAAATCGTTGCCAACAGTGCCAGCTACAATTATCACTACCATTCCAACTGTGGAAACAGATACCCCCACAACCACAGAAGAAACTCCACCAGTGTTGAATCTCCCAAAGCCAGCCAGATGCTGCACTGCTGAGTAGCCCTGTCAGTCTATTTACCAGATCCGCCACCCCTTGCCCCTTGTAAGGAATGGCGCCTGGAATTGCATGGGCCACCGGAAGTGGTCTGGACTACTACCATTACTACATTGCGCGACTACCAGTACTGACTGATTGCTACTACTACTACTACCGATGCCGACTCCTGAAGCTGCCATCATTAGGCAAAACATGGAGGGATGAATCCAATACGAGGATCAAATCTCCGGTGTGTGTTGTCACCTCTTGCTTTTCAATGACTCGACGACATTTGTTCAGGGGTGATAGCTGAAGTTAACAGTACCAGCCACTGCGATCGACGGAAGCCTCTTCCTCCTTGTTATGGTGCTATGCCATAGTTGGAGTGATCGATTGACTCCAATAGAAACTAAGAATAGATATGGAATTCTCTTCTATTTTGATACTGCAGACAACTGTTTGTTTCCATACCCTGATACTTCAAATTGTATAACTTGATTGTTATGGGCTGAGAAAAGAACACCTTTCTGAGCTGATACATATATGAAAAGGATTCATTCTATTCCAAAATGGCATTTCCAAAACAACAAATAGACATGAGTTTTGTTTTCTGTGCTTCACACAACCAGAGACTTACCCTTGTTCTCCAACTTGACTGCTATGGGCCGAGAAAAGAAAACCTTCCCGACCTGGTAGCTAGGATTCCAATAAAGGATGGCTTTCCCTTCTGCACCGGAGACACGCCAATTGACTGAGGCTTGATATTGGTACGGGTAGCATGCATTAAAGGTGTGACCGATCGACTGAGTCACTCGTTCTGCCAGCCAGTCCTAGAGGTGCAATCGATCGACTGAGGACTCATTCTGCCAACCAGTCTCCCGGTATCTAGTAGAGTAGAGAGGAATCCAACGGTTCGATCAAGAGGATTGGTTCAAAGCTTCGCTAGCTAGTGTCGCATTATCTCCTCTCCGCGTTCAGCCAAAATACACTCCCATCAGCCAAGACATTGACAATGAGGATGCAGGGATGTTTGACATCGAAAATCGATTCAAGGAACAGCGGCGGCGACGGGAGCAACATGCACCATGGCGACGAAAGGATTGCTTATTGACTGGAGCAACAATTGGGTGAAGTGTCATGGATGACAGGTTGGGTGCTTATGTGTTTTTCTTTATGCACCTGTTGTGCATTGTGCATCACCATTCCACTTATTCTTCCACAAGAATACCACACATTTTTCATGATAGCCATTCGATCCTTCACATCAAGGCCATCCAAGAAGCAAACACTGCAGTCAGACTTTCCCCATGAAATAGCTTTGCATTCTGCACCAGAGACGCTCCAATTTAACTCGACTCGACTCAGGCTTGATAGACGGTACACTCGACTCCGGCTTGATAGACGGTGGAGGTGCGTCGAGGTTGAATTCATGCATCCGCCGGTCTACCAGTAGAGAGGGATCCAATGGTTTGCTCCTGTGGTAGTGGCAAGTGGCAAGGTACATGTACTACCGGTAGACTTTGGTAGCTACTAGCTATGGCTCCTGCGACGGGAAGAAAAGCTACCTTCAAAGCCTACGTATCCTAGTAGGGATGGCCGGCTCTTTCCTGGTATAGCTATCATTGATGTCAAAAAAAATTAACAGCCACATAAAATATTATTACAGCACAATGAGCCAAGCCTCCTCCACAGTGCTGCGCGGGAAAGTGCCGGCCGATCCTACCAGACACGTAGGTTTTGAAGGGAGCTTTTCTTCTCTCGCAAGAGCCATAGTAGTCCATCATCCAGCCACTTGCATTCTGGTATCTCCTCTCCACTTTCAGTCAAAACACACTCTCAGACACCAACACTGTGAGGGAATATTGACAATGAAAGATACCGGCACTTGAGTAGATGCAACAGCAACTAGAACAACAACCAACAAGCACAATGGCAAGCAACGCTCCGGTGATACTACAGCTGTAGTATGTTGCTACCAGTATGATATTAGTATGCATCTGACGTGCTAAAACTTGTCTTCCTGCTGACTTTGATCCATAAGTCTCGATGAGTTTTTCTTCCCAAAGCTTTTTCAATTTACTCACACCACCGAAAATGTCTTATCAATTGTCAGTGCACAGGATTTTGTTTATGTATGTTTTACCATGGCTGTGCCAACATGCCAAAAAGCCACCGGATGAAGTCTGCAAAAAAGGCTTTTTGTACTGATTTAGTATAGGGAATCCTTGCCAAAAAATGTTTCATCCAACCCCCTTTGAAAACCCCCAAAATTAAGTCATGAGGAAACCTCACGGATAAATAAATGCGAACCCCTTTTTCCTCTCAAAGTTATGTAGACGCGAGCCGAGACTTCGCGTACCAATCCAGCAGCGCCTCTCAGATGATGGAAGGTTCTATTCACTGTAACTAACTAACTAACTCCCGCACCTCTTTCGACAAGGTTAAAGGTTAAAATTGCCGTTCATTTCTTGCCGTTACATTTTCGTGCCCTTGTCCGTCTTGATTATTGTTGATTGTCGATTGCATTAATTTAGTAGAGAGAGCTAAGAGTTGCAGCCAGCAGCATACAACGCCACAATGACGACCAAGAATACCACCCGCATTGGAGACTCCTTACTGGGAACCTGGACGAGTGAAGTTAATGTTTCGAGCCATGACAAGTCGTCGTTGACAGCCTACATGATAGTGCATTTTTTGGCCGATCCACGAAAGGCCCATGGTTGCGAATTACTCGACTGCCAAGAACGCGACAACCAAGTTTGTATGCTCTCGGCAATTACCGACTACGGCCACACAAACATCGCAAAGAAATGTCATGATATTGCCAAGGAAAAGGATGTATCTTGGAGTGATTGTAAGTGCTGGTGACGGGGTATCGGGTATATACCGGATGTGATAATATACTAGTATATGGGTAGCTAACACCTTTTGGCTTATTATTTCTTGTTTGAGCAGTGACGGTGTTTTATTATTTTGGAGTCAAGATTAACTCTCCATCCAAGCCAAAGGCGCATAAGGAGCTGTCTACTGGCGCTTGGGTGGGTCCGTTTAATTTGATCATGGCTCAAGATGCGAATGATAATAACCAGACAAACAACTTGGTGGACCGATATGTCGGGCGCTACGTTCAGAGTGAATCCATGACGCCCCCATTTTTGCAGAACATGGCCCCCGTTCAGAGCACCTTGTACACCAAGCCTGATCGGTATCAGGACTTTTTGGGAACTTCGGCATTGGCGTACACGACACGAGTGCAAGCCAACTTTACGAATAGCATTGGCCACGAGAAGGAAGACCCCTATAGTCCTTATCGAGAAACCTGTGATCACGGTAATATGCAGCCCATTTTACCACTTTTGGAGCTGGACTTTTATAACAACGACAACAACAACGACACGGCAAACGATCCAATCCCAACGTTTCGGCTGAAATACAAAATCATGGCGGTTCCAACTCCGGATGAAGCCGTCTCGAGGATCTTGAAACCGTTGCAATCCAAATTTCAAGGCAACGGTGGATACAATATTATTGGTGGCCCGTACTGTTATGGAGATGATCCCAATCCTCTTTACCACA